ACAATGTTCAATCAAAGTACTACTAGATCAAGTCCAAATCAATACAGAATTTTTCGACCATCCACATGTGTACCTGACTTGAAGTAAATAGGAAAATGACCAGAACTCCTATGTAATGAAAAACATACATAGAATGAATCTAGATGCTGGAAAACGACAGAAATAGTACGAAACACTAGATCAGAGAAAGAGCGAAGAAATGGGACGAATAGTGAAAATTAATCTAAGTAGAAAGGGAAAAATGAAAAGAACGAAATACAATATTTACAAACGAGTCAACATCTCTGTTCTATACATTTCAACCTTAGTAATGCTCGTATCAGGATTGCCAGATCTTCTGAAAAAAAGGGAAAGTTTCTGATGTTCTGATTCTTTCTGATTTTCTCGCGTATTCTTAACTCCTTTTGATGACAGTTTCCTTAGTGACGTAAAATATCATTATAATTTATTAAACATATTTTAACTGAAAGACACTTGTTGAGAATTTGATGACTCGACTCACTCAAGAAGATAAAAATCAAACTGTATTCATTAAATTAAAAAAGGTTCTCTCAAAGGAAATCCATGTTTGCGATTAACTGAGTAAATACCAAGAATATAGCTTAAAGGTTTATTGCTTTTTGAATGAATTCTCAGTAAGCTCTAATGAAATTTCTATACAGTCAAATTACTGAAACCTATATTTCAAGTACTGAAAATCGTCGATTAATCGCAATATTTCAAAAGCAATGCCACAACAAGTATTAGTTTACAAAATAAATGATTTTCTTTAGATTAATAGCAATGAAAATTTCAATCATTATGAGAAGCTCATACCAGTAAGACAATACACGATGTCGTATACAAAAATTTCTTGTAGTGATGATTTTCGTAGCAGTTTTGCTAAAGAAATACCCAAAGAATTACTGTTGTGATATCCGATAGAATTTTTTAAGCCGCTGTAAAAAAAAAATATCTATTTTCTTCAGAAAGTATCGAAATTAAGATAAATACATACAACAATAGTTTGATAACGAATCTTTTCCAAACAGGATAACTTTTTATTCGGCACGTCACTTTGTTCAAAGTCTTCGATGATTTCCGTCATCTTCTGTTCGAAAAATGTGTTTATTTTTCAAAAACAAAAGTTGCAAATCTTTTTCATTTTTTTCTTTTGTATTTTTCTGATCATGCATCCCAGCATTCTTGAGCATGTGGAACTCACAACACGTGTTCTTTATCCTTGTTACACTAATACAAAATACATTGAGTGAAAAGTCTCTAGAAAACTTAGGTTCAACACCTTTTTGTCCTCGGTTGGTATGGAAACATACCCGATCCATTCTGCTTCCTTGCCATGAGAGGCCGGAAGAGTCACAAAACCTTGACTTAAAACTCACATGAAGTTTAATAGCAAAATTGCCATTGAAGGAAACACTATAAGTAATAATAATCTTTGTTTTCGTCAAACCTATTAGATAATGAAATATATGAATTTTGTTTAATTTACTTTGCATAATTAGTTAAATTTATAAAACAAAAACATTCTATCCAAGGAATAAAAATAGAGAAAAAAAATCAACCGATGAATTAATATTTCAAACTTACAATCTAATTTTATCTTCGGATAATTTTTACGATATTAATCGCTGTATATTTGTTATTTGTTCATCACTAACGTGTCATAAATTGTTATGATGTAAGTACTAGATCATAACTAAAACAATGTAAACAACACTAATCAGATTCACTAAACTATGTTGGGAACAACTTTTTTTTTTTACAATATGTTATTGTATGTCGTGCAACAAGTTTACGTATTTTGTCCATATCATAATGATCATGTTCAGCAATACGTTGTGTTGAATTAATATATACTTGAATAAATATTTTGTAATGTTGATTCATTGAGATTATGTAATATATTTATTATTGTTGAAGAAATTTGTATATCTTAGAATGGTTTGGTTTTCGTCAGATTCCAATAGCATGCCATTTTTCACTCTTCCAAAAGTATCCAACGATCTATTTTTGAAAACTGTCGTACCCCTGTTCTATGTTGAAATCTTTGTTATAATACATGATTCAAGAGAACAACTTTCACTCTACGTAATTTTTATATAGGTTAGCTGATTTTATTGTTCAATATATCATAAAGCAAGAGCAGTGCAAATTTCATCATATATTCTATTTGAAAACAAACTTCATGTTGGCAAATTGTTTTAACAGCGTGGATTTGTAGGAAAACTTTCTTTTTCTGTTGGAAATTCTTATATTTGAAATCAAAACGAATTATATTATGAATAGCAAAAGTAAAAAGCTTGCCGTAGTCCTAACAATAATCTAAGTTCAAATCTCCCTAAATATATAGCAAGCTTTTACACATCACATCTTTGTAGATAGAAGATGAAATTCAGAACAACGCTCTGTGTTAAGTTTCATTTGATACTTTTTTATTTAGTGAGATAAATATCTACTCTGTTGCTGAAAACTGCAATAAGTTGTTTTACTTCGGTTATTTCTAGCATATCAAGAGTACCGAAGATGAACGGAAACTCATATTGAAGACTCAAAAATGTTTGTATCATCTCGAGACATAGATCTCTTTGACATACTTCGAAGAAATTTCTGGCGACACACAGTATAGATTTTGTTACAGCGAAAAACACGCAAATTATAAAGACCGAATGCGTACACGACCGATTACAGAAAGGCTATGCTTCCCACTGCATTAGTTATACATAATAAAACTGTTATCAGTCAACATCAAATTGCAAGACGTTATAAAGTGCATCAAACAATAATCAATCGTACATTGAGAAAAAAACAGAAGACTCTAACAATGTAAAATGAAGATCTAGAAAAGTGAGATCTAGAAGAAGAAGTTGTGGTAAACTCTACAGAATGATTGTGATATTATTTTGAGCAATGCAAAATACATTGGTTGAAGTGATGATAATATTCAATATGATCAAAGATTTTATACAAGCAATCCACCAGCAACTTCATCTGATGTTACATATAATGATAAAGAAATTTTCGTCAAAAATTTGACTGTGGATAATCATGTCATTAAAAGGTTTATCTAACATTTTCAAATAATGACAATTATGTATTTTGGCGGGACAAAGCTAGTACATTTTATGCTGGTATTGTTACTAACAGAATAAGACATAATTCAGACGCAACTAGAATATGCCTTATGCATAGAGTGCAAACTCAAAATAGATTTATCATCTGAAACAATTATATATAAGCATAGAAATGAAAACAGCTTAGAGAAGTGGAAAGCCATATTATTTTACTAAGAGAACTTAGTTTTAATGAAAATTTAGCTACAGATAATGATGAACCATATGACGAAGTAATTGAATACATGAAAAGGACAATGATCTATCAAAAGAGTCAACATGTATGATGTATGTGTATCCATAAGTATGACGTTTGCCATCAACACTACATTATCCCATTCTAGCGTCATCAGCAACAAAAAAACATATACATAGCGAAATTGATTGAATTTTCGAAGCAATAAAAGAATTCTGAATCACTTGCTTTTTTGTGGCATTTAAGATGATCTATTTTTGTTTGTTGTTGTCTATGGAAGAAACTAAACAGTATACTTTTCATACAAAGTACAAGGGTTCGAATCGAATCGGACAAATATTAAATGATTTTTGAATCTATCATGTAAGTTTCTGACTTCCAACGAAAATATTCCGATTGTCAAAAAAACATTACATTAATGCCATCAAATCGTCTGATAAAGAAATGCACTATCATTCATTTTCTAAATAATTTTATTATAATTTGTTTTTTTTTCTGAAAATAAATTAACTAATTCTATTTTCTACTCTCCTGTGTTTTGATAAAGTATCTTTCATGTCTTCTTTTTTTGTTCATATTAACAATAATGATTTAGCACATATTGTCTTCACATTTTTTTTTAATTCCATTATAAAACTAAAAGACTGCACAGATGTAGAATAGACACACGAAAAAAATCATAGAAGCATAACAAACAACTTTTACTTAAATTACTATTCCAAAAGAAAAAGCAGACTTTTTAATTAAGTATATAATCAAAATCAATGAAATAGAAAAATTCAAAAAAAAATTAAATTGAATGATTTGCTGTTCTATATTTGATATTTCCATTTTTTTTTTATTCTTGACAAGTGTTAAAATGTCTCGCAACAAGTTGTTCCCATGAGATACTACTAACCATAGATTAACAAAGAGAGATCGATGTCAATGGTGTTGTATGTGTAATTGTCGACAATGAACATCTTCTTTTTTCATTCATACTAAATGATGTTGAATGATTAACGAGCTAAACTAGATTAGATAATAAACTTCAATATATTAAGTTTAATTTTAATTGGATTGGTTAGAAAAATATTGTTAAATTTTGATTGGTTGCAAAGTAAAATTAAATTTTCTTTTCTTTTCTTTTTCTGATTTCAAAGTAGGCGGAAGTCGTCAGTTAATCTATTAAACGAACAACAACAAACTTAGTCTGTGTTCAATTCCTTTGAGAGAAAGAGAGAGAGAGAGAGAGAGAGAAAAAAAAGAACCTACACTCTTTTTTTTTCTCTCTCTCTCAAGCATCACTGATGCATATCGATTCGCTACAATAATCATTGTCGTCGCTTTTAATCAAGTCTTTTTCTTTCTGTCTCTCTCTCTTTTTTTTCTCTCCATCTCTTTTCCTGAAACTCGAAACGAGTCATTGGTTTTTTCTTCATTCGACACAGTGTACGCATTTGAGAGAAAAAATTCAATCTATCATACATATAAAAAAAAGAGTAACGCTCTATTGCTATTTCTCTTCCCTTCATTGCCTTTTCAAGACTGTCTTTTGCTTGTGCACAAGAGTCTTGTTACTGTGCAAAACCATGTTTCCGTTCAACCAGTTCGTTGCAGCTCAATACCGATATTCCAAATTCGGTAGGTACTTGGTATTTTCTTCTTTTATTGATTCTTTCTTTTTTTTTCTTTTTGTATCTCTTTGTGCTCCAATGAATCACGAGAGTCAATTTTTTTTTCGTTTATTTATCCATATAGGACATGGAGGAATCAATCAACTTGGTGGAGTTTTTGTTAATGGACGACCATTACCAGATATTGTTCGTCAATCAATTGTTGATCTAGCTAAACAAGGTGTACGACCATGTGATATTAGTCGTCAATTACGAGTATCACATGGTTGTGTAAGTAAAATTCTTGGAAGGTAAATAAATTTAAAAAAAAAGAGGTTGACTATATGACTTGTGTCTTTTAGATACCATGAAACAGGTTCAATTCGACCGGGTATTATTGGTGGAAGTAAACCAAAAGTAGCAACACCGAAAGTTGTTGATGCTATAAATAATTATAAAAGTCAAGCACCAACTATGTTTGCATGGGAAATTCGAGAACGTCTTATAGCTGATGGAATATGTGATGCTGATAAAGTTCCAAGTGTTAGTTCAATAAATAGGTAACACAATTCTTTCTTGAGACGGTGGGGGGGGGGGGGGGGGGGGGGGAGTGGCGGAAGAACGGCGTTGGA